TTTGAAGATAGTTTGTGATTCTAAACAATCAGTTGGGTTAGTACAAATTGATTTCAGAAACTTACCATGATGGGTGGTAGATGAACATATAAGATCCATGTTGGATCCCCAAATCCTTCAAAGCCATATAATGTAAATATACCAATAATATTCTGTGCACCAGTCATGATAAGCTGAGATGGATGGTACATAAAGATAAAGATGGCCATGTAGGAATAGCCTAAGGATGTTCTGTGATGGAAGCAATCAAAAGGAGTAAGGATCACGTTGAGGTTTTCAACGAGCTAACAAGTCAAAAAACCTACAACCACATCATTAGAAATGACTAGAGAAGGAAAATACAGAATTGATCAGTAACTATGTAAGGTAATTGTTCTCTTGAAAGTTGAACTCCACTCACTATCCAGACTATAGAATCAAACAATCCAGACTGTGGGAATATATTGTGACTTATCATCACGAGCAAGACAAATTGGTTAAAAGGTAAAATGATAAACAGGTGTAGAAAATGTGATTTACTTGAGATAATGAGAGGCATGATCATAATGTTTGAAGCACACATGCAAGATATGAGACCAGCAACTAGCCCAAAGCTTGTGAGGAGCCTCTTCCAAGTGTATATCTTGATGGGGTAAGCCATTTTGTGAGTACGGTGAGGGGATGGAGTGGAATGAGATTGAAAGAGAATGGACGATTGCAAGTCAAACAAGATAATGAAATGTTGTGGAAGGTGGAGTAATGCTGAATGTGTTGAGAATAAATTGTTAGGGATGAAAGGATTTGAAGCCAAACCAATTTATATTTGATCAATTATTGTGCATATCAATGCGGTCTAGTCCTATGAACAAGAATTGTCCAGGGCAGGGAAAACCTTCAAGTTCTACCATCTTCAGTAGAATCATTTTGTCAACTTTTCTACATTTTATCATGGACTGCCTATGGCTCCATTCTATTGTCTCAATCTCAAAATTGAGCTATCCTTAGTATGTAGATTCAATTCAAAATCAGACCATCATCCAAGGTGCCTCATTTACATGACTGGGTCCATCCCTCAGGCACGCATTGTTAAAACCAGTACCTGGAGCACAAGCCAACTTTTGTAGATCTTACCACTAATAAGTTATCAAAAGACATTCAGCTTCAATGAAACAACATCATTGGGGCTTTGTTTAAGGGCCCCCAAATGAATTTGATGTGTTTGTTTGTGAAAATATATAAAATGTGGCATTGATACTCCTGCCCGATTTGATGATTCAACTACTCTCACCCGACAATTTGTCAGACATTTTAACTTCCTGCAAAGATGACCACTGTATTGTGCAATAATAATTGGATTTTTCAAGACAATTCAACTGGTGAGTTAAGTGGGGTGTTACAAGAAGAATATTTCAAGATACCCATCAATACAATTGAACTACACACAGGAACCAAGAGACAATTTTCCCGCGGGAAGACTGATTACACATAATGTAGTTTCTGAGCCATAATGTACAAATAACACAGATATAACACCAAAATAATATATTTTGGCTCATTAGCTGAGTCAGATACAATTGGGTTTCCCGCGGGAAAATTGTCCCTTGTTTCCTGTGACAAGTATTCCACAATCAGTCAGACATCCAGCACTTGTGTGTTTCAAGCCCCATCCAGCACTTGTGTTTCTCAAGTCCTTGGTACAGCAAGTTAACTCACATCATTGCTGAGACATTATTATGTGCAATGCTTAGCATACACTTCTTGGTCGCCTGTGGATTCAATGCAGGTATGTAGCATAATATCTTCCTTATTGCCCTCAAAATACACATACTGACATTTATCCATACCTTCACCAGGATTCCTTGATGGAGCCTTTCAGGAGAATATGTTTCGTCTTCTCCAATATTAAAACTGAATTGTCATATCAGTCCGTGTGTCACTATATACAAAATGGTGTGTCCACATTGGTTGAAATGATTTACTTTCATTATTCACTGAACTGACTGATGATTCTGCACTTTGATCACAGTCTACTTCACAATTCCCTCCTTTGTTAGGTTGCTGTTACATTGCTGGTCAATTTTTTGGCCCATGGACAGTCATCATGTTGATCCAACACATGGATGTGAATTTTGATCTGTGCTCAAAAGCTTCCATTATAGCTCCATCTTTGGAAATGGATTTTATTACGGCATGTTTCTATTTGATTGTTGGGTTTGGAATAGCACTTGGAGGACAGGCTAGGAGTGGATATGATATAGGAATTCAGATCTGTAAGATCACTCTTTATAAATTCATAAGAATATGCAAACTAAATTGACATTTTATATAGAAAATTGTTTCATCTTGTTGGATACACAATCCTAATACATACACAACATCTTGGCCAACTCGTTAGTTTGTGATTCAAGCATTTGATTATCACCAAACATGGAACTAATGTTTTCTTGTCCATTTAGTAAATTGTACTTATCAATTCAATGTAACTCCCCAATCAATCTGTTACGGTTAATTTGTGTTGTTATTATTAATTTGAGTGGTGCTACACTAAGTCTTTGGATTGTTATACCTGTCCTGAAGACTCTAACTGATCTTCCTTCTATTTTCAGCTTGGTGGACTTTCTTACCCCTATGTTAGAATTTTTTCAAAGCAGTTTGGAGTGCATTCAAAACTAAGCAGACACCTGAAGAGTTACAGATTTAATGATGGGGTTTATTTAAATCTTTTTATATCATCTTCTGTGCTTCTTGAAATTCTATTTTATTTTTGTTCTGTTTTTTATCTTTTTCATTTATTCCTGTGATGATCCTTAGAAGCTTCACAATAGAGCTTAATTACTTCATAAACAAACTCATCCTCTGGGTTCAGTTCCGCATCAAATTCTTCAAAGTCATGTATGAAATGTCCCAAGACAAGGTGATGTACCTCTATGCCACCAGGAGTCAGTTCTGGTTGTAATGACTGATGATTCTCGCCTCGCTTGACAATACACTCTCAAGTAAAATATTGTAATTTGCTGCGAGTGTAAGATGGCACGTTCCAGAATAATACATTTATAAATTTGATAACCAATTATCAAAATTAACAATGAGATGACCATGAATAATATAAGTGATATTGTGTTTTGTATAGCTTTTGATTTGAATTTTTTACATTTGGTATGATGAAAATGTAAAGTTTGATTTGAAGCATCGATTTTTAAAGCGGAGTAGAATATGCCGTACTTCGTAAACAGCACAGGAAATGTATTGAAGGAGACGAATGTCAGCGAGTATGTCAATGTTTTCATTGGAACTTGAAGTTCCATCAGTCTGGTTTTGGCAAACTGAGACGTTGCCATTTGCTATTGACAAAGGACCAGCTTGAATAGGTGAAGCGGTGAATGAGGTATGAGACATGTTGGAATGGTTGGGAAGACTTAGCTTTCAATTTCGCACCTTAAAGCAACAGGATGACCGCATGAAAAGCTTTTAGGTCAAGGTTTCCTTACCTGGCTTGCCATGAGCTTTGATCCGATCAGCTTTAGTTCTTCCAGACAACACAGATGGTTTTTTAGTTTACCAGCTTTGATAGATTTTTTACTGATAATATTCTAAAACCTAACAATAAGGATTCTTTGATTTTGATAATGTATCTGGTGTTTCTTCTGTAAAGGTCTTCAACATATCCACATTCTCATTTGCAAGACTTAAGAATGATGGACATTGTCATTCATATGAATGTAATTTACTTTCTTCATCTTTTTGTCATGATTCAGGTAAATCCATCCATGCTGCGCTATCTGCCATCTTGCTCTTGATTCAATTTATGTCTTGTAATTGTCAAAGGGACTTATCAAGAAGATAGGTGACATCGTCCATTAATAAGTTGCCAAATCGGATAAAAGACTTGGTAGTGATTCTTTCTTTCAGGCTATTCAATGAGT